GCTCAGCTCTCGAAATACTTGCCCCTCTTGGCCAGCAGACCACTCCAGCCACTGCCCAGGATGCGGCACTTGTAGTGCTCCACCAGCTGCTCAAAACGGGCCTCGGCCTGGCTGCCTCCTGTCCAGCGCTGCTTCTTCTTGGCACCTGCTTGGGCTCCTCCTGGGACGCCCTTGGCCTTTGCGGCTAGGTGGGGACAGCCCCCTTCTTTGTAGGGGGCAGATTCACTTTGCCCTTATCACGCCGTCTGATTTTGTGGCCCTGGTGGGAGGGCGGGGCCAGGACCTTGCATCGCTTCTTGCCAACCGGCAGCTTCACCTGCTCGGCCACTTCTGCTTGTCTGGAATCCGGACCATTATTAGATTTAAAAATGGGCACCACAATTCATAAATGATATTAGAATCATAAGAGCTGGAAGAGACCTCATGGGCCATCCAGTCTAACCCCCTCACATTCAAAGCACCCCTGACAGATGGCCATCCAGCCTCTGTTTAAAAGCCTCCAAGGAATTAGCCTCCACCACAGTCTGGGGCAGAGAGTTCAACTGCTGAACAGCTCTCACAGTTAGGAAATTCTTCCTAATGTTCAGATGTAATCTCCTCTCCTGTAGTTTGATGCCATTGTTCCAGGGCAGCAGAAAACAAGCCTGCGCCCTCCTCCCTATGTTTTCCCCTCACATGTTTATACATGGCCATCATATCTCCTCTCAGCCTTCTCTTCTGTAGGGTAATCATGCTCAGCCCTTCAAGCCACTCCTCATAGGACTTCTTCTCCAAACCCTTGATCATTTTGGTTGCCCTCCTCTGGACACATTCCAGCTTGTCAACATCTCCCTTTGACTACCTGGAACACGTCCACAGAAATGATCTAATCAAAAAACAAGATGTGAAATTAGTCCTGCAAAGAGGACTGAAGTAAGCAAGCATTAAGCAACTTTGGCAAAGCCCAGAGAACATTCTTTTAACTTTATTTTATTTATTTAATGTATCAGGAGCGAACCAAAGAGTGGTATTGTATTTTTAAAAAACACAAAGTTTAAGAACTTGACTCCACTTTGTAGCCCCATTTCTTCAGGTTGGCTCTGCATCTCGTGGTGCCAGAGCGCAGTCTGTTCAGTGCCTTCCAATTCACCCAGTTTTCTGTGTGCCCAGGAGGAAGTCTTTCATTTGGTTTCAGTCATTGATTGAGTTTCTAGGTTTTGGCCTGCCACTTTTGGACTCTTGTTTGCTGAGGTGTACCAGCGAGTATCTCTGGTACACCTCAGCAAACTATTTCTTGATTTAAGTTGTTGGCGTGCTAGCTGATATCCAAACGGGATGGGCAGGAAATATCACTGTCTTGGCCCTTTCACTTTTGGTTGCTACTTCCCAGCAGATGTCAGGTGGTGCAATACTGGATAAACAGTGTAATTTCTCCAGTGGTGTGGGGCGCAGACACCCAGTGATAATGCGGCATGTCTCATTAAGAGCCACATCCACTGTTTTAGCGTGGTGAGATGTGTTCCTCACTGGGCATGCATACTAAGCAACAGAGTAGCATAGCGCAAGGGCAGATGTCTTCACTGTATCTGGTTGTGATCCCAGGTTGTGCCAGTCAGCTTTCGCATGGTATTATTTCTAGCACCCACTTTTTGCTTGATGTTCAGAGTGACTCCCAGGTATTTGGGTGCGTTGCAATGCTCCAGTGGGATTCCTTCCCAGGTAATCCTCAGAGCTCGGGATGCTTGTCTGTTCTTAAGATGAAAGGCACATGTCTGTGTTTTGGATGGATTAGGGATCAGTTGGTTTTCCCTGTAATAGGCAGTAAGAGCACCTAGAGCTTCAGAGAGCTTCTGTTCAACCATCTCAAAGCTCCCTGCTTGAGCGGTGATGGCATGATCATTTTATCACCTTTTTACTTTGGACCATCTTCATAAGAGCCACCGCAAACTAGCCTCCTGCGGGAGCAAACTGTGCCAGCACGTCCATGACGTCATGAGACTGTGCCTCTCTCTCCGCCTCTTTCTCCGTGCCAGAGTGGTTTTTCCTTTGCTAGGGCAGCATTGCCAGTGTACTCTCGTTGTTGGCAGAATTCAACAACGAGATGGGTCTTAGTTAGCAGAGAAGCCAGCAAGAGATTTTAAGCCCTGAAAATGAATGTGGGTGTTTGAGAGTTCCAGTTTCCTACCATATGGACGTGAGTAAGAGACTTGACTCTAAAAGACCCTGATTTAAGTTACCTCTTAGACCCGTCGCAAACTAGGCTCCTGCGGGAGCAAACCTTGCCAGCACGTCCCTGGCGTCATGAGACTCCGCCTCTCGCCCCACCCCTTTCTCCGCCCCTTTCTGAGTGGTTTTTCCTTTGCTAGGGCAGCATTGCCAGCATATTCTCTCAGTTGAATTCTGCCAACTGAGAGAGTACGCTGGCAATGCTGCCCTAGCAAAGGAAAAACCACTCTGGCATGGAGAAAGAGGTGGAGAAAAGGGCGGGGCAAGAGGCGGAGTCTCATGACGTCAGGGACGTGCTGGCAAGGTTTGCTCCCGCAGGAGCCTAGTTTGCGACGGGTCTTAGAGCCGTAGCAAACTAGGATTTTGCGAGAGCAAACTAAGCCAGCACAAGCGATGCTCCGCCTCTTTCTCCGCCTATTTCCCTTTGCTAGGGCAGCGTTGCGAGCGTACGCTCGTGCCGCAGCAAACTACAGGAAGCTTGCGCTCGGGCTTGCTCCGAAGCCCCGCCTTTTTTTCCCCGAGGCTGCTCTCTCTCTTGCTAGCGTGCCTGTTTTCCATTGCAGAGGGCAGGGATGCGAGCGTACGCTCACAGTTGAATTCTGCCAACTGCAAGAGTACACTCGCATCGTTTCCCTAGCAAGGGAAAACAGGCACACTAGCAAGAGCGAGAGCAGCCTCAGGGAAAAAAAGGTGGGGCTTCGGAGCAAGCCCGAGCAAAAGCTCGCTCTCGCTTCCAGTTGTTTGCTGCGGCTCTAAGGAAGGCACTGTGGAGAGCAGCTGTTCACCCACTCCCTTTTCTTCTTTCCTCAATGCCCTCTGAAGGCCAGAGGAAAAAGCCAAACAGGGCTTGGTTTGCCTCTAACCTGCTATGCAAAGGCTTAGTGGGTCTCCTGGTATACTTTTCATTATTAGATAAAAGATATGGGCACCACAATTCAAAAAGGATATTGACAACCTGGAATGTATCCATAGAAATGATCTAATCAGAAATCAAGATGTGAAATTATGTTTGACAAACCCATGTTGGCACATACTCATTATTGTGTTGTCATCTAGATACCTCCAAACAGACTCTTCTATAATCTGCTCTAATATTTTTCCTGATATTGAGGTCAAGTTGACTGATCAGTCACTCCCGAACCTTCTTTTTATTTCTTGTAACCATTGGTGTTAATGCTCCTTAATCACACTTGCTAATTTATGCACTTTTAATGGGAAGGCAAATTATTTTCCCTATGCAGTGGTATCACTAGCAGAGTGTGGGGTGGAAGTAAGTCTCACCAGTTGACACCATCAGAGCAGCTAATATCAAAATGACTGCCTATAAAATGTGCATGTTTGGTGCAGAAATGCATCCATTTTTTTAATTTAAAAAGCACACATGCAACATTGTTGGACCCATGGCCCCTTACAAGGCCTTGTTGGTTCTGCCAGAAAATAACAGAAATGTGCAGGTTCTTCTTTGGCCTCCAGAGCTGAGACATGATCTTGGATTATAGTTGTACTGATAGTTTAATCAATGTTTTTCATGTATTTCAATGTTTTTCATGTATTTCAATGTATTGTATATTTTATCTCTGGAACGCTTGTTATATCTTGCTTCACTATTCATGCCACCCTGTTGATTATTTATTTATTTATTTATTTATTTATTTATTTATTTACAGTATTTATATACTCTTTTTCTCACCTCTGTGAGGACTCAAAGCAGTTTACACAAAAAAAAAATGGCAAAATTCAATGCTTTAAAAACATAAGCCAAATTACAAATCAACACCATATAACTAAGCATAAAATCAGTAGGACAATTCACCATAAGATAAGATAAAGGGGCATTTAAAACATGAAATATAAGAATTAAAACACCTAATAAAAACATTAAATCATATGATTCAACCACATAGACCACACAATTCCAAATGTCATTTGAACATATTCCATATTTTCTTCTTGTACTGCATTAATTTACTAGTCAAAAACTTGGTTCCATAACCATGTCTTTGTTCTCTTTCTAAAGGCCAGGAAGGAGGGCACTGATCTAACCTTACTGGAGAGAGAGTTCCAGAGCCGAGGAGCCACCACAGAGAAGGCTCTGTCTCTTGTCCTCACCAACCACACTTGTGAAGCAGGTGGAACCAAGAGCAGGGACTCTCCAGAAGATAATGGGGAAAATATGAGAAGTTGTATTATTTAGGATTATTTGATCTTGAAAAGTATCAGAGAGCACAAACAGAGATGTCCAGTCTGCCTGGAGCAACTCTCGCATGCATATCAGAGCTTCCTAGTACATCTCATGTGCCAATCAGTGACAACCTTGTTTAGTGCGATAGGAGAGAGCTATGCTAGTTATTACCTATAAGTTGGTTTATTGTGCCATCTAGTGAATGGAAGAAGGGAGCACTAGCTACAAAACACACAGAGCCCAGCCATAAGCACAGCATGATAATTGGATCGTGGCTTTAAAAAAACCTATTATAACAATAAATGCAACAACTGCAATAAAACTTCAAGGAGTGATAATGAGACTCAGAACGGTTCCAGAAAGCACTTTAACCCTAGAGCACTCACATTTCTTTAGCAAAATTGCACCCCAGTTGAAAACTAGACACTTCCCCCCAACATCCATGCTTTCCGGGGAGGGGGGGGGTGGAGTGTCCAGATGCCCTACCAGGCCTTCCAGCAGAGCACCCAGGCACAAAGGAACACACACACCCAGAAAAGCCTTCAAAAAAATAAAATAAGTTATTTTCTTTTTTAGGGGCTTTTCTGGGGAGTTTGGGGAAGGGAGAGGGGGCCCTCTTACATCTCTGTACTCCAGGAGTCCAGAAGGTGTGAGATGGATGTATGGACAGGTCCCAGGGAAGTCCCACGACTCGCCGTGGGCCTGGCTACACAGGGCCCATAACCCATCAGACCTGGGCCTTTCACAAAGGTGTGGGTGTAAAGAGCTATCTAATTAATTCTAATTTGTCTCAAATTAATCTACTTACTGGAGGCATCATATGGCCACCCTCCATTTTAAACCGGGAGCTCCTGGGATAAAGGTACTGCCATGATGGGCCCTCATTAAAAAAAGAAAGTCAGAAAGCAGAAAATCAGAAATGGCAAGGGCATTATCTTGTTCCTTACATGTAATTTTATCTATGTGCAATATATTTCGATTGCCCAAGCATAACAAAATACTAGCTCACCTAGTTTATGATATTAACTCCACCCACTGCAGCTGACAGGAGAACTTTTTAAAGGTTCACAAGAACAGAACTAATCAGAAATCACAAGCAAAGTCTCCAGTCATCTCCCAAAAGAAAAAAGGTAATGGGAAAGGACGTGGAAGGGTGAATTGGTTGGGAGATTTCCAATTTTCTCTTCCTTTCAATTTTTATGAAAGGATTGATGCATTTTAATATGACCATTGAGTATATATTGTAACAGCTGTATGTATTTGTGATATTTTTAATACTTTGATATAATAGTGAAAGCCTTTTGGCTCAAAAGGGATGGGCAGGGGAAGATTCATTTCCCTCTTTCTGCAAGTATTTTAAATGTTTGGTACTTCACATATATACAGTGAACATTCTCAATTACAGGAAACAGGAAAAAAAACTGGAGTCCTTTCAGGGTACATAATCATAGTATTCTATTCCTCCTATGGTTCATCCTATGGAAACTTGGGCTTTGTAATTTGGTGAGGCACAAGAGTTTTCTGGTTGAGAATCTGAAATACCTCTCCCAGGATTTCATAGCAAGAAATAGTATGGGTAAAAGTGCAAGCAGTGTTATAACTGTTGGGTGAGAACAGTGGGATTGGGTTGGATTTTCCCTATTGTCTGAGCTGGTTGCATATGAGGACAGCTCTAAAAAGATTTAAGCTTACTACTGAGAAGAAATATAGACAGAGTAACATAGTATACATTCAGTGAGTACTTGTAAACTGACAAAGCCTGAATTTTGTGCAGACGTGCCATTACATGCTGATAAATCCCTGAGACGTGAGAATTGCCAAAGGCACCAGTCTAATTGCCTTATTCCAACCATTCTACAGGGAACCCCAAATTTTGAAATACAGTCTATTAAAATAAATTGAGTCAGGAAGGCAGGGCACAACAACTTGAATTCCAAGTGCACTCGTGCATGCATCTGCCTGCCATGAATATTACACGCACCACCTTGGCCTGAGACGTGGAATGAAAGGGATTCGTTCATACAGCATCTGAAAAGGTACTGAGAGCAGTGCTGGAATGTGTAGTAACCTATAGCTTGGCTCTGATATCTAGGATTCACTTGCAAGGTGTTAGCCCCAGCCTGGGTGTTTCTGTGATCTCGTTGGAAAAAAAGGGAAAGGAGGGTCCCATCATGAGTAGGCATCCCTGGTACAAAGATTTTGACTTAGAAATCTTTGGCCAATAAGGTGTAGCCTTCTGTAGATGGTGATTTGATGACATTTTCATCCAATTCAAAAGCAGATATGGTTACCAATGGTTACCATCTTTGTTCTATTCCTTATGAACTAGTCAGCAGCCTATTAACACCTTTAATCCTTTCATTCCATATCAGCACCTATAATCCTCTCATTCCCAACCTATCATATATGTTGCATTGTTGGCCGTGATGCTCCCTTGAGAGCCCCATAGTAGCCCAAATTCCACAGAATATTCTGACTTTCTCTTCCAGGCCCCAAGATAGTCACACTGCACATCCAAACTTCTCCAGTATATTACCAAAAGTAGAGGACAGTGGATATGGAGGAGGAAATCTGGGCCAAGGAATTCCTTCTGGCCAGGCTCTCACTATAAGTAGGGATAGGGCACATTTTGAGGAAACTTGTCAGTGGTCAGCAATATTTGGACGAGAGCTTCTTGTAAAGAAAAAAAAAGAATGATTGTCACACTTTTTTCACAGTAGGTCTATTCATGCCTTGAATGATGACTGGAGTAGCAGATTTATAATGCTTGGAAAGGGAAGAGTTGCATTTGTGATATATGAAGTACATTACACCTGCATGTTCAGTGCAACAACATGGTCTCTTGGATCCATAGTAAGCATGCAAAGAGAAGAAATGTAGGAAATGGAAGAGGAGTAATGGGAACATTTCTGCTAAATTGTATCTGTAAGCAGTGCATGGCTGATGTAATGGATTGATGAAAATGGGTTACTTTGATTTATCTGATACTCACATATGAGATTGCTTCTTCTAAAAATGTTCACCATAGTGTTGTCTTCCGTGTTGTAAGTAAAATATATGTCTCTGAACTTCCAGTGCCTCTGGAAAGTAGGACACAAGAGGGAATGTCAGATTAGCCCGCAACCTCATTAACAGGGTCGGCCAATAGTGCACCACATATTTTGATGTATTCTTTATGTCAATCTCTATGGGTATAGGAAGATGAAAAATGTTTCCAGATTTCAATTCAGTAATGTAAAAGTCTGATAAAGGGAGAGAAAAGTAAAGGGGTCATTTCAGAAGTTGTATGTGGAAGTTCCATTTTCAAATCCTCCCATCCATCATCACCAATTTACATGGAATTCTGCTCTTAGTTGCTGATGGGAGGAAAACATATTAGGGCAATATGATTTGGACAAGGTATTTTCAGATGAGATGGGGGAAATTTCTGCAGTTCATCCTAGAAACCACAGGCTGCTAGCATGACATTTAGAGTTGATATTGTGCTGAGTTCTAAAGAGAAAGGTGTTGACAAAATGTATAAATACCTACATTTACTGTATATTGGAGAGGGCATTCTGTGGGCATATAATCACACAAACATGGAATTTTGGTGGGGAAGGACTCCTATATGATTCAAAGTGTTTCCCCCCCTTCATGTTACATTCACATTGTCAGCTCTGTGTCAAGAAGCTAGAAAGTAAGCTAAGCTCTGCCAATATGCAATGCTATGCATATTGCTGATGGTTTTCTCATACCTTTTCTGTAACTAAAGGAAAAATAATTTAGTTATACAATTAGCTCCCTGTATCCTCAGATTTAGCATCAATGGACTCAATCATCCACAACTTGAAAATATTTCAAAACAAAAAAAAAGTCCCAAAAGCCAATCCTGGATTTGCTGTTTTAAATAATGACACCATTTTACTATACCATTGTTTACAAGAGGATTTAAGCATCCTTGGATTTTGATATCCACAGGAGGTCCTGGAATCACATCTCAGCAAATACTAAAGGTCCACTATAAAATTCCTTTCCTATTTTAATGTTTTTTTTATACGTGTACTTTGGAACTGAGGGGATGTAAGAGCAATATAACTTCTACAATTATTTCTATTTTTCTCTTACACTCCTTTTGTGTGTGTGTGTGTGTGTGTGTGTGTGTGTGTCTGTGTGTGTGTAGAGAGAGGGGGGGTAATTTTTCGCATAAGGAGAGATTGAGAAATCTCCTGCCTTTTGCCTCATGGGATTCAGATTGGCTTATAAATTAAAACAAAATAGCGAAAATAATATGTGGCATTGTTAAAATGATGAAATTATCAGTTAAATGTATCAGTTAAATGTTAAATTATTTTAAAACAATAAAGATGATTACAAACTGGTAAACACTTACTATTCATTATATGTGTTCCTACATCTTTCCCCAATAAGTCTAAACAAAAATCATATGGCCCTCCAGATGCAACTCTCAGCATTCTTCACCAATGGCTAGGTTGTTTAGGATAGATGGGAATTATAGTCCAATGAGTTATGGAAGGCCACATGTCACCAGTGCTAACAGTAAATCTTCCATATTTGAGCAGACTTAAATAGATCATCATGGGCAGTATAGACTCCTTGTGATGGAGAGATTATTTCCATGGGATGAGCAGGAGGAGTTATTTAACCTTCTCTTAGACTTTTAAATTAAGATTGAAATCCTAGACAATCAAATATGTATTTTCTTTTTTTTCCCCCAGGGTGAAAAGTGAAGAAATCATATCTTTCTGGATACAATTTTATTTGGTTCAGCTTGCATACCAAAGATGACAGAACAAAACTCTACTTTAGGGCAGGAATCTAACACTTGGCTGGTCTCTCTTTTAGGAGAACAGCTAAACTTCATGATGTATCCCTTGACAGTGCTAATGATTCTGATAATATTATATTATCCTATATTGTTTACATTCTCCTTTCTCTACATGAGCAGTGCATTCTATTATATTTGTGGTAAGATTGGTAATTTCCCAGACGATGGCAGTAGCAAGTTATGGGACATGCCGAAGCGAACACTGGCAATTGTGTCAGGTGTGCTGGGAAAAATATTGCATGGTAAGCATGATTTCCTCATGTAATCTCCTAATGGCTGAATTTCCAATAGTCCTTCTGTTGCAATATTCCTTTGTTTCAAAAAAAAAGAATGGGGATCCATCTCCTATTGATATATTGCTCCTAATTGTTAATAATTGGGTTCAAAAGTCACTAGGGGTGCATCTACACAATAGATTTAATGCAGTTTGACACCACTTTAACTTTCATGGCTCAATGCTATGGAATCCTGGAAGTCTTACAAGAGCTTTAGCTTTCTCTGTCAAAAAATGCTGTCCCACCAAACTACAACTACGTGGCAGTTAAAGTAATGTCAAACTTGTATTTAATGTTCAGTTAATATTCTGCTGCATTGTTTTCCTCATAGTGTTTCCTTGTACTCTGTTGAGAAATAAAGAATCTGAGATCTGTACAAATATTTAAAAAATGGTGACATCTTTATATGTTGTTCCATTGACAGGTTATGAGATTTGTGGAGTAGAAAACCTTCCAAAAGGACCAGCCGTTATTGTTTATTATCATGGAGGCCTTGCTATTGATTATTACCTCTTTGTACTAGGACTCTATAGAATCACAGGGAGATTCTGCTGTTCTGTGCTGGATCATCTCCTTTTTTATCTGCCAGGTAAAAAGCCAAATATTGTAATTGATTCTGAATCTGAAGAAACAGACTTAGGATTCATCTACACTTTTGAATTGATGCAATTTGACCTTATAAACCTACTACTCCCATGATTCCATGTAACTGTTATCAGAAATATTTTAGTTCAAAATTATACCGCTAAAAACAAGAGCAGCATCACCAGTCTGCAAGCTACCCATGGTAGAAAAGAGGTATTCAGAAGATATACAGGGAATGTAGTTTTTCAGGTCAGAATTTTCCTGCTCAAGTACGCATTGTTCTCATTGCATCTGGCAATTTACAAAAAGACATATACAAATCTTTTCACTAGCCTTCACAACATTAAACTCTGCACTAGCTCTTAGAGATACTTGGATTTCTATCTATGTTTGATAAAAACAAGTTTTTTAAATATCATCTACACAGTGAGGGGAAAAAGATTATTACCACACTCAGCAGAAGGTAATGCTAAGGTTACCCTGGATTAGAAACCAGGGACCAAGGACTCATTCCCATGAACCTCAAAACCCCTAAGTGACTGAGAAGCCACAAGCTACCTGGACCATATAGACTTCTTCACTGCTACTGTGGTTCAAACATCTCTGGGAACAGTCCAGGATATTTTCTTCTCCAAACTGCATCTGCTGCTTAAGTCGATAAATGTTGATAAATCTCAAATATGAGACCTGCATTAAGTGAACAATGTCAATCAAAGCTACAACTACTTGCATCAAACGTGACAGGGAGAGTAAAGAACAGGCATAGAATCCCTCTGAACACTCTGAATAAACAGTTAAACTTTTTTGTCTTATTTTGTATTCTACATTATCTGTATTCTTCCTTAATCTTTAACAAGAATGAAGCAATTATCTTTTTTTCCATTTATTCTCCAGGTTTAAAACAATTTTTGCACATAAATCAGTGTTATCATCCTACAAGAGAGGAATGTGTGGCATTTCTGAAGCAAGGACATTTACTGGGCATTGCACCTGGTGGAGTTCGAGAGCAGAATTATGGAGACAATACTTACAAGCTTCTGTGGGGGAAACGAAGAGGATTTGCTCAAATAGCTATAGATGCAAAAGTGGTAAGCAGTCCATTTGTCATTGTCACCCTCCCATCTTTTCTATACTCTTTGAATTCTATATCATTTCTTGGAAACACTTTAATTTCATGCACTGAATTTATGGATTAAGTGTAAAATATCAGAACTGACGACCTGTTTTCAGAGAAGGGAAATGTGTTTTTGATTCTTACTCATTTTTACTTATTTCTAATTCTTCATTTAAAAAGATCATAGAAGATGTCAATACTTCATCTGTCAAATTGATTTCAAAGTGTTACAAAAATTTAGGGACATGCACAGTGCAAACAGTACATACTAGGGGCATTCAGCTTTTTTGTAAGTCATCGTAAGTCTTATCAAATTTGTTAAATTCATACTTACAATGCAATATCCATCACGCAGGTATGGCCCATGCCAAAAACATGAGAATCAACATTTACCCAATACTTTTTTGTTTGAATTTTGTACATCTCAGAAGCCTGCCAAAGTCAGTTTCATTTTCAGCTCAAGGAAACAAAACAAAGCCAAAAAGGCTCCTTTCCTCTTTAAATTAATGGCCTCTCACCATTAGGAGAGGGAAATAGCAGGGAGAAAGCAAAATTCACCGGGAAAGGGACTGAGAAAGAACAGAATTCTTGGAAAAGTAGTTTGGCAAGGAGTCCTTTGCCAGAAAATGCAAAAGGCCTTGCCATAAACTACATTTCCCAGAATTCTACTCATCATCAGAAAGCCCCAATCAGGATAGGGAAGAGATTTGTCCCTGTGTAGCAGCAGCCAGCCAGAGTTCCAATAAATTGTTGAATCTGCCAAGAGGAAGACTGGCTGATACTTGTAGTAAGTAAATCTCTGTGTTGAGCTGGGAAGAAATCCCAAAGTGGAAGTTCTGTTGGTTTATATGAGAAACATTCAAAGAGAAAGCCTTTTTTAAAAACTTGTGGGTTTTTAAAAAAAAATTGTCAAAACTTTGGGAAAAAAATCCCTAAAATCAGTAGATGTATGAACATTTCTGAAAGTTTGCAGGAATGATGCCCTATTATCTTGTTTCACCATATAGGAAGCTCAAGGAAATCTCTCTTTAAGTTTTTTAAATGTTGCTTACAAAAACTTAGAAAACTTCATGGATAATTGAAATGTTCTGAAACTTGATGGGCTAACAGTGGTAAATGTGTTCTACCACTATAGCATGTTCCACTCCATTAGCTGTAAAAATGAGGGAGAAAGGAGTCCTTGAAGTTTTCCCACTTGCTATAATGAAATTTTGTTACTCTTGTTATAGTAACAAAATATTTACTAATTATACTTTAGAAATGCTTTGGAAATGAAATGCCAGCGCCCCTTAATTCTGTAATGACTTTTGAAAAAGAAATTATTGATTGCACAGCCCTAGTCCATGCAGTATAGATTTGATCCTACTAGAAGTTAACACATACAATCCTTGATTTGAGAGAACAAAACACCAGAACAATTCTGATAAAGCGAACAATACTCTGCAATGAAGAGATGTTTTTACAGGCCTTCCTTTTACCACGGACATGCACATTTCATGGTTAAAATACAGGATATGTATCAAAATGGTCAGAATAGCAAAAGTTATTAATGAGCAATAGCACACAAATTAGGAGAAACTACAACAGTTTGCTTTGACCTAAGCCTACAACAAAGAAACGCCTTCCCACTTTTTCTTACATACTACACTTGTGCTTTCAACTCTGCTTGCTTCAGTTGAAGGAGAATGAAAAGAGAAAAGTGGGAGTAGGAGAGGGAAGCTGAGATACTATGAAAGTGGTTGAAAAAGTAAGACAACCAAGGGAACAAGTTAGCTATGTTTAAATATTTGAAAGGGTGTCATACTGAGGAGGGGGCTAGCTTGTTTGGTTGGTTTTTTTTGGGGGGGGGGCAGGTTGTTTTTTGTTTGTTTTTGTTTTGTTTGCTGCTCTAGAGACTAGGATATGAAGTAATGCATTCAAACTACAGAAAAAGAGATGCCACCCAAACATTAGGAATAACTTCCCTATAGTGAGAGCTATCCAATGGTGGAATATGCTGCCTTGGAGTGTGGTGGAATCTCCTTTGGAAATTTTAAAACAGAGGCTGGATGGTCCCGTATGATTTGCTTGTGTGTTTCTGCAATGCAAAGGGTTGGATGGTCCTTGTGATATCTCCCAGCCCTATGAATCCATGATTTATGATTCGATGAATTTTTCATTAGAGACACACTGGTTTAGGTTATGTGTGAAATAACCTGATACACACACAATAATTCACCAATTTCATTGCAAATGATAGTTTCAGAGAAGGAATGTTTTTCAGAACAGCAGTTAAGAAATACATAGTTACTTCAAATTTTTTCACACCTATGAAAAAACCTAATCACCATCTCTCTAAACCCACAGTTGATGTGTTTCTTTACATCTTTTTTCAAGTATCTCTCATTTAACAATATCCTGGTTCTAACATCTCTTTTTGGTTTCTGTTAGCCTGTCATCCCTGTTTTTACTCAGAATATAAGAGAAGGATACATAATATATGGAAATACAAGTAAGTCACACTCAGTATTTGTTTAAAAATTAGGAATTTTCCTGTTTCAAATATATATATACACTCATGTAAGAGAGAGCAATGTTGGAATACATTGGGATTTGGGTCAAAGTTAAAATTATATAAATTCAGGTGTAAGTATTGCTATAGGTCTGATTTATATATCCCACACTTACCTTAATATCATATACAGGGCTAACGAGATGGATTTATGAACAAACTCGGGTACTCAGCTTTCCAGTATATGGAATAATTCCAGTCAAACTGCGAACTCATATTGGGCAACCTATACCATATGATCCCAATATAACTGCTGAGGAACTAGCTGAAAAAGTAAGTATTTCACTGTCGAATGTTTAACTATGTATTCAGATATCACAGTGATATCGTTGATTGATTCTTATCCTTGTTGTAAACCGCGTTGAGTCGCCTGTTGGGCTGAGAAACTGCGGTATACAAGTAAAGTAAATAAATAAATAAATAAAGTGATCAGTTCTGTTAGAGAAATTTGTGGAAACTTTAAGGAAGTTCAAAAATATTGAGTTTGATATTAATGTTTTCTTCATTTATCATACATACTTCCCAAAGATTGTATGCCCATGAATATGACAACCACTAACAAATTATCACAAATTAAAGAGAAGCTTTTCCTGCAAACACAGGTATATGAACGACAGGTACTGGCAGATCGGGCCACGATGGTGCATGCCTCAGTTACATCCCATCAGGATTACTGTAATGTGTTCTATGTGGGGCTGCCTCTGAAGAGGGCTTGGAAACTTCAGCTGGTCCAAAGAGCTGCAACCAATTTAATAGCTGGGGCTGGCTACAGGAAGTGGACAACTGTCCTCCTGTTATAGCAGCTTCACTGGCTGCCAGTCTGTTTCTGGGCACAATTCAAAGTGCTGGTTATGACTTTTAGAGCCCTAGACCAGGCATCCTCAAACTGCAGCCCTCCGGCCGTTTGGGCCAACAACTCCCAGAAGCCCTAATGAGCTTGTTCAATTGTCAGGAATTCTGGGAGTTGAAGGCCCAAACAGCTGGAGGGCCACAGTTTGAGGATGCATGCCCTAGACCAGGGGTCCACAAAGTTTTTAAACAGAGGGCCAGATCTCAATCTCTCAAACTGTTGGAAGGCTGGATTATAATTTGAAAAAAACATGAATGAACTGCTATGCTCACTGCACATATCTTGTTAAGTGCAACTAACACTTAAAAACAATACAATAATTAAAATGAAGAACAATTCTAACAAATATAAAATTATTAGTATACAATGGGAAGTGTGGACCTGCTTTTGGCTGATTAGATAGGGTTGTTGTTGTTTGCTTTCAAGTCATTTCAGACTTAGTTTGACCCTGAGCGAGGGCCGGGTAAATGACCTTGAAGGGCCGTATCCACCACCACCACCCCCCGGGCCTTAGTTTGAGGACCCCTGCCCTAGATGGTTCAGGTCCAGGCTATTTGACCGACTGCATCACCTTGTATGAACCCGCCCAGGCCCTGAGGTCTTCAGGAGAGGCCCTTCTCTTAGTCCCAAGCTTGGTTGGTAGGAATGAGAGAGCAAGCCTTCCTTCTCAGTAGCTGCCCCTTGACTCTGGAACTCCTTGCCCAGTGAAGCCACAATGGCCCCTCCCTGTTGTCCCTCCAGTGGCAGGCTATAACCTTTTTATTCCGACAGTCTTTTAAAGATTATGGTTTTTAACATCTAGTCAGGGGGTCCTGTAGTTTATAACTTTGAATTTGTTATAATTATTTTTAACTCTGAATTTTTTTAATACTGTTTATATTTAATTCTGTTTCAATGTTTGAATATGTGTATATTTTAAATTGTATGCTATTGCTTTTACGTGAAGCCACTTTGAGTCTCCTCCAGGAGAGATAAAATGAGGAATATTATTATTATTATTATTATTATTATTATTATTATTATTATTATTGCAGTAAAATCCAGCATGAATTCTGCTTCAATGATAAATCATTCAATTCCCCTTTGAAAGTGAGGTTCCTCACAATCTAGATTTATCCATGTACACAAAGTAAAAATAAAAGAAAGATGACCCCTCTCTGAGCGGGATTATTCTGAAACCAAATAATGATCTTCCAGTGTGCATGGAATACTGAAGTGCACATTGAGTGTATTGTGGCAGAGGGACAAAAGGGACACTGGAAGAGGAAGGAAAAAAACTGGATGCTTTAAATTCTTAAGAATCTATATGTATGCTAAAATTATTTGTCCTTTCATGGGCTAACCATCCTCCCACTTCTTCAGGTATTATAAAATAGTCCACTGTAAGACTGGCCATGGTTAGGAAATGTCCCAGGCATAGTGCAACAGAGGCAAAGTTTCACAACTTTATATCCTTAAGCCAATTTTAAGCTTCCCTTTCAAATATGATTATAAATCATCTCCCCCGTCATATGTCCTTAGCCCAGAACAAGTGGGTGGTTGTCATAACTCCTTGCTTTGTTCCTCCCAAAAACAACATCCAGTAGGTCTTCCATATTATTATTGGCTTCTCTTCAAGATTAGGACATCTCCAGCATTACACATAGTTGTTCAGATGTACATATATTTTTAAAATATCACTTGAGGAATGGTATATTTTAATGACCCACTTGCTTGACCTCCCACTTTACCAGCAATTTGTGTTTGTGGAGCACAGGATTCTAGTAATAATTAAAAAGAACTCCACACTTCCTTAAAATTCCTATACTACTCCCTTCTGTCCATAACTGCACATTCTAATTTGTTTGTGGAATATATGAGGAGGTTTCACTATCTGCTTTTTTCCATCGCCTCCGTACTGTCTCTGGAGAACTCATGTACTATAGTGTCTTTATGTTCTAATTGGTATATGCATATCTATGTGTTTTCAGCCCTCATTGGTCTAATTTATTGCCAGAGATGGGATGATAAAATGCATTTGTAATGAGAGATCTTTCCAAAAAAGTAAACACACAAAGCAGTAACAGAGTTTTTAATTACTCCTGTTCCTTCAATCAAAGATATCCTGCTTTGGGGGATCCATTATGTAATTTCCAAATACCAGAAATGGCAGAGTATGGAGGAGGTGGTTATCTTATCAAAGAAGACTGGAAAGGTAGAAGACAGTAGGGAATAAAGGAAGATTACATTGCAGATGAATAGACTCAATCAGGAAAGCCACAATCTTGCATTTCCAAGACCTAAGCAGGACTGTCGATGACAGGACAACTTGGAGGGGTCTTATTCATAAGGTTTCCTTACATCAGACTCAGTTTGATGGCAGTTAATAACAAGATTATAACTAGAAATCCATACTGGAATGAGTGTCATTCTGGATCTATTCATCAGCCAATTACTCGTCAGAGCTTCCAAGTGGAATATTAGTTTAATACATTTCCATTTATTCTTTCCAGGTGACTGGTTTCTCAGCCATATTTTGCAAAAAAGTAGGATAATTGTGAGGAAGGGCAAACTGAAAAGGCTCAATGTTTTTAAAACATATAGCCTCTTTCTTAGCAAGGAGATTACATGCTTTGGTTGTGACTATTTCAACTTTGGGAATGAGAAGTACAGTGTTCCCTCACTTACCACAGGGGTTCTGTTCCAGGACCACCCACAATAAGTGAAAATCCATGAAGTAGGGACACCATATTAATTTTAATATTTATACATTACTTTATATTTTATATATATTATTCTCTTACCCACGCTTCCTTACTCACCTCTCGGCCCATCCCAAGTGCACCTGCCTGCCTCCCTGGCCTCCGCAGAACCCGGCAGAGCCTCCGGAGCCACGCAGGCAGCATCAGGCCAGGGAAGCAGGCCTTCCCCGCTGAACCTTAGGCCTCTGCACTTCCGGGGTCTGTGGAGGCCAGAGAGGGAGGCCTTCCCTGCCGTGCCACAGGCCTCTGCACTTCCAAGGTCCCTGTCCTCCACTGGACTTAAATATTTTACATTTTATATTTTATTAATATTTTCAAAAACCCACAAAACAGTGCGTCTGCTAAAAGCGAACCACGAAGTAGCGAGGTAACACTGTATATGTATTTTATTCTAAATCTTCAACTTTTCATCTTTTTCTTGTAACAGGCAAAAATGGCAGTTGAAGCTTTACGGGACAAACATCAGAGAATACCGGGAAGCATCCTGAGAGCCCTTTGGGAACGTTTTGAGGTGCATCACAAAAGCAAATAATCTGAATAACAGACTGCACTGATATCTTTCTTATAGTGTTGCCTCACAAATATTTACTGTACAAATATAAATTAAAGGCTTTTAACAACTCTCCGGTTTTTATTCATTACTGTCATAATAATAATATTTTTCTCTAAGCCTAATCACATCAAGGTTTTTTTCTCCTCAGGATGGAGCTGAGGAGGGAAGGGTGTCCAACAAGTTCCCCTAGAAGCAATATAATTTAGTTATTTGCTTACTTCATGTGTGTCCTGCCTTTCTTCCCATAGGGACTCAATGTGGCTAACAACAACATGTAAATACAATTAAAAAACCAAGCAAATACAAAAAAATTAAAATGTGTCAGGGATACAAAATTTTAAACACAGTTAAAATACAATAAAATATATTGAAAATTACATTTAAAATCTAAACATTGCCCCCAAAGTAGACCCATAACCTCCCTAACAGCCTCCCCCTCATCATCCCCCAAATTCCTGATAGCAGAAATATGTCTTCACCTGCCTGTGAAAGGTAAGTAAGTTTGTAACTCACTCCCTCTTGGGAGGGAGTTGCAAAGTCTGGGAGCAGCCACAGAAAATGCCTCTCCCTCATTTCCAGATCATGGATTTGTAACAGGTTCAGGGAGAGAGAGAGAAAGGGGGGAGGAATCTAAGGCATCTAGGGCTTTACAGAACATCTTAGGGCTTGTCTACACTGGTCAATTTGAGGGCCAGGCCAGAGCACAAATACTCCAGACTGTCCACAGAGACCTCAAAGGTGTTTACACATTCTGTGTATGACGTACACAGGCAACAGATTCTACACCATCCAACCTGACCAAAAACCAGTTACCTTTCCTGACTTGTATCATTGCTGCTGGGCATCTCCTGGATATTGGGGATACCCATAGTGACCTAAGTAGGGGCACCCATGTGAACAAGGAGAAAGCTCATTCCCTTCTCCTTCATCATTTAGGTGTCTCCACTGATTTCAGTGCAGGCGCCTGTGACTACCAAAATCTCTCATAGAGTTCTGCAGCCATCTGCAGTGGCAATGGGGGTAATATGGGCCTGATCCTTTTTTCCTGCACTGATAAAATAAGCAATTATAAAAATTAAAAAAAAACAGAAACAAAAACAACAGTATATAACTGTGGCACATGCAGGCAAAACCACATGATCCAAAGCATGAACGTAATGGTGTGATTCTATAGAACCTCATTGCATTGAGGCAGAGAAGCGTCTTCTCCCAGCTTCTCTGTGCTGCTGACATGGATTCCCCCCAAAGCCAGCATGGAGTCCCCTGGAGCCCATCATATGACACAGGACTACTTCCAGTGGGACTCTGGGGGGCTCCATGGCAGCAGTGCAGAGAAATGGAGGGGGCAAAGAGGAAAAGGTGGACAGCCAAAAAATGTCATAAGAAAGGATACCATGCCCTCCAATGACTCCTGACAGTAGCGAACGCAGTGTCACACTGCCCACGATTTCCTCCAATGTCCCCCGGCTTTGTAAGGCCATCTGATGAGAACCAAAGACAGCTCTGACCAGAGCACATATACAATAGAATGTTCAAAAAGTACATCCACATAGGGTTTTAGCAGTGTAGGTATATTAATACAGTACATGTAAGATGGACTTACAAAACCTTTTGTGATTCTATCTAACTTCAGGAATGTTTCTATTTAAAAAGACACTATACAAAAATGTTATAGACAATCATTTTGATGTTACCCCTTCTGATGGAGTCACCTGGTGCAATTCACACGATCCTAGAGCCATCTTTCCATGGCTTCTTATAAATTGGTGTCTTATTTATTTTTTTTGTTAGAGTGCATTTGTCAGTTAGATATCCTGATTTAAGGAAAAACATGTCAATGAGTTCAAGAAATAAACTAAGATTTATGTAGGAACTCCATTCTAAGATAGGAAAGTTAGGACACCAATCTAACCTAACAACATATGGGAAGCTTGAGAGGGGAGTCATAGGAAGGAAAAAAAGATGCAGAGGAAAAAAAAGAGTATCAGTTTACATTGCAGAAGAGTCAGGATAGGTGGACATAGAAGGAGGACACCAGGTCACTCAAACTACCTAACTATTAGGCCTGTCGGTTTTAATTCGTTATTTCGTTATTTCGTTTTAAATTCGTTAATTTTTGCATTTACGGTACGATAACAAAACAATATTTCAAACCCGGAAGGGTTTTAAAATATTGAAACGTCAACTCCAAGAGTATTTACGAGCTTTCGCTCGTTTCGTAAATGGGGCGGACGCGCACCCAGTGAGCCAAGCCCCGCCCCTGCCTCTCTCTCTCGCGTTCCCTCCTTCCTCCCGCTTCTTTCCTTCCTTCTCTCTCTCTCTCTTTCCCCCTTTCTCTCTCACACACTCCCTCGTTTCCCCCCTCTAAATGGGGCGGACGGGCGGGGCGAAGGGGCGCCGCGAGCACGCACCCAGTGAGCCAAGCCCCGCCCCTGCCTCTCTCTCTCGCGTTCCCTCCTTCCTCCCGCTTCTTTCCTTCCTTCTCTCTCTCTCTCTTTCCCCCTTTCTCTCTCACACACTCCCTCGTTTCCCCTCTTTCTCTCTCTCTTTCGCGTCCCTCCTTCCTCCCCCTTCTCTCTTTCACTCCATCCTTCTCTCTCACTCCCTCCCTCTTTCTCTCTCACACACTCCCTCCTTTCCCCCCCTCTCTCTCTCGCGTTCCCTCTTTCTCTCCGTCCCTGCCTGGCCTCACTCCCTCCTTTCTTCTCTCTTCTTTCTTTCCTTCCTTCCTTCCTTCCTTCCTTCCTTCCTTCTTTCCTTCCTTCTCTCTCTCTCTCTTTCCCCCTTTCTCTCTCACACACTCCCTCGTTTCCCCTCTTTCTCTCTCTCTTTCGCGTCCCTCCTTCCTCCCCCTTCTCTCTTTCACTCCATCCTTCTCTCTCACTCCCTCCCTCTTTCTCTCTCTCTCACACACTCCCCCTTTCCCCCCCTCTCTCTCTCGCGTTCCCTCTTTCTCTCCGTCCCTGCCTGGCCTCACTCCCTCCTTTCTTCCCTCTTCTTTCTTTCTTTCCTTCCTTCCTTCCTTCCTTCCTTCCTTCCTTCCTTCCCTTCCTTCTTTCCTTCCTTCTCTCTCTCTCTCTTTCCCCCTTTCTCTCTCACACACTCCCTCGTTTCCCCTCTTTCTCTCTCTCTTTCGCGTCCCTCCTTCCTCCCCCTTCTCTCTTTCACTCCATCCTTCTCTCTCACTCCCTCCCTCTTTCTCTCTCTCTCACACACTCCCCCTTTCCCCCCTCTCTCTCTCGCGTTCCCTCTTTCTCTCCGTCCCTGCCTGGCCTCACTCCCTCCTTTCTTCCCTCTTCTTTCTTTCTTTCCTTCCTTCCTTCCTTCCTTCCTTCCTTCCTTCTTTCTCTTCTCTTTCCCCCTTTCTCTCTCACACACTCCCTCTTTCCCCTCTTTCTCTCTCTCTTTCGCGTCCCTCCTTCTCCCCTTTCTCCCTCCATCCTTCTCTCTCACTCCCTCCCTCTTTCTCTCTCTCTCACACACTCCCCGTTTCCCCTCTTTCTATCTCTCTTTCTCGCGTTCCCCCTTTCTCTCCTCCCTCTCCCTCTCTCTCTTTCTCCTTCCCTCCTTCTCTCTTTCTCTCGTCTCTGCCTAGCCTCACTCCCACCTTTCTTCTCTCTTCCTTCCTTCCTTCCTTCTCTTTCTCTCCCGGAGGGCGCAGGAGCCGGGCCCCCGGAGCGGGCAGGAGCCGGGGAGGGGATTCCTGCAGCGCCGGCTCTGCCTCCGTGGCCCGCCTGAGAATTGAAGGCTGCATCCAGGCTTGCTGTGAGTTTTCTGGGCTGTATGACCATGTTCCAGAAGTATTCTCTCCTGACATTTTGCCCACATCTATGGCAGGCATCCTCAGAGGTCTGTTGGAAACTACTGGCAAATGGAGTTTGGACAGCTTGATTGGGATTAAATGGCCTTGTAGCTTCAAAGTCTGGCTCCTTCCTGCTCAGGGGAATCCTTTGTTGGGAGGTGTTAGCTGGGTCTGACTCAAACCCGCTATGTCTGTATAGTAGGCCTGTGCGGTTTCGTTTTCCATTTTAAAATATTTTTAATATTATTTTTTAATATTATTTTTTATATTATTTTTAATATTATTTTTTAATATTATTTTTAATATTATTTTTATATTATTCCTGCTCAGGGGAATCCTTTGTTGGGAGGTGTTAGCTGGGTCTGACTCAAACCCGCTATGTCTGTATAGTAGGCCTGTGCGTTTTCGTTTTCCATTTTAAAATATTTTTTAATATTATTTTTAATATTATTTTTAATATTATTTTTTAATATTATTTTAATATTATTCTTAAATAATACAAAAAAATATTCTAAAAATTCGTTAATAATTACAAAATTTCGTAAATACCAAAACTTTTTTTGGAAAAGTTTTGTAATTATTTTAAATATCGAAACAAAAAAACACCCCAATTACAAAACGATTTTAGAAACAAATTTTTTCTTGTTCAAACAGGCCTACTAACTATTACTGAATATTGTGAGGCATTCTTCTGTGCTAAGCATTGTTGCACTTTGACTATAAAGGACCACTGTGATGGTTTTAGACCAACATTTTTAGGAACGCAGAAGCTTTCTGCCTGCAATATATCAGGATTAAATCCTACATTAGGATGTACTTTTCCCCAGCTTTGGAAAGAACAAAAAGCCACCAAAACCAGTTTGATTTCCCAATATATGTCAAAAGAATATATGTGAATTGGTTTCAGAATGGGATTGGATTCAGACTAAATCAGTACTTAAATTCTAATTGTCAAATTAGGCTCTCTTAAAAAGAGGGGATTGTAGTTTGTAAATATAAGGGCCTGTGGGAAATGTATGTAGTTGCTGTGATTTTTGGAATTTTAAATGTAGTGCTTAGCTTTCTTATTTCACAAGAACAACAAAAATACTAATGTGAATCATCTTATAAATTCAATCTCTCCCAAAAAGTGGTGGTGCCCCACTAAATTAAACATTCCAGGATTCCATAGCACTGAGCCATGTCAATCAAAGTGATATTCAAATTATTATTATTATTAATTTTTATTATTCAATTTTATCTCGCTTTTCTCCCATGGGTGGATTCAAAGCGGCATACAAAAGTTTAAAAACACAAATACATAAAATACATATTCAACTAAAACATCATAAGAAAATTTAAAGGAAATAACCCAACTTGACTGCACCATATACAACAAGTTTGACTTACAACATATACCATTTTAAAATTGCATTAATTCTCCAAAATAATTGCATCCTAGTATACTATAAACCCAGAATAAGTTATTTACTCCCCTTTGTCCACTTTATTACGTATAGCAGAACCGACCTGAGGAAATTGTTGCAGTCTTTTTTTTCTCAATGGTCATATTTAGATCCAATTTTGCTAACATACATTTGCTCATCTTGCTTATTTACTTTATTCTATCAAGGCAGATTGTAACTACCTATTTAATTCTTGCAGCAACTGGTGACCAACCTTTTGGCCACAATTTTCTCTGCACTTCTTGACATTGGTCTTTAGAAGTTTTAGCAGCCTTATAGATCTGTTGGTGAAAATGCAGTTTCGGCAGCCACCTGCAGGGTTACATCTGTATTGCCTCTATAATAAAACTTGAAGGAATAATGATGATGCTCAGTTTAACAGTTACACAGTAACCCTGTTAGTGAACAGCAGCATTAATTGTCACAATGAAGATTAATGTGTAGACACACAGAGATGCAGAAGCTTTTTCCCTCCGACCAAGGAACAAGCTCACATGTTCGTCTTGTAGCAGAGTTTATGCAAAAACATATATATACAGAATCCAATTATTCTCCTCATGCCTCTCAAAACTCCAGTCATAGCAAAAACCTCCAACTCCTTCCAACACCAGCAAACTCTTCTCAACTCCACCATAAAGAGTAACCCTTTTTTACTCCTTTATTTACCCAGCAATTACCCTACCTTGGGTGCAACTATTCAATGCTTGTCAGATGACCCGGCTCCCACTGCCTGCTGCCCTGATTCTTGCACTACTTGTTACTTAAGAAATGATAAAAAAAACTCTAACACTCATTTCCTTTCTTAAGTAACAATCCCCAACCAAAAATTATACAATTAAACAGCAAAACATAACATCAGCATACAATGCCCAAGAGCACGGTGGTTGGTTACTCGTCCCTGATATGTTTAACACATTTTCTTTATTGTTTAACACAAACTTTGTTAATTAGCTTCCCACTTGCACACACTTTGCCATTTTTCCACATTGTACAACTCTTTTCATCAAGATTCACTTTATATCCCTCTAAACACAAACCTGCTGCACTCACAAGGCAATAATCTAAATTTGGGACAAACAAAACATAATTTAAACTTCTCTCCAAAGTTGAGATAAATGCAGTCCCTTGTAAATTACACTTGGCTAAAGTTCCATCAGCCAGTGTTACATGGTCATCAGTTTTAAGTTAACAATCTTAGGTCATTTAGGTCACAGTGCTGAGTATAATAGCAAGGTTCTTTTGTCTACTTCTTTACATTTACTTAATGCATATACACTCAAGTCAGCTTCTCCTCTTGAGTAGCCCAAACTTTTCCTCTGGCTAAAGCCTCAACATTTTTCCTCTTCTTTCTTCTTTGTGGACAGTCCTCGACCAATTGCTTTGTGCTTTCACATTCAAAGCACCTCCTTATGTAGTTCACTGCTAGATACTTCTCAGCGTTGCATTTAACATTGTCCTTTGACTTTTCATGATCAGCAAACGTTTCCTGGACAAATTCCAGGCACTTTTCTTGCTCCAATAGTCTAGGTGACACATAATCCAGGGTTAAATCATCTTCAGGCACATTTTGTGTAGAGCACACAAAATTGACCTAGCTTTTGTCCAATGAAGATAATAAAATAAATGCCTTGTGTGTCTCTGTAAATGTCATTTGTCTGTCCTCCGGGTCAACAAACACATTTCTTAATTTTTGCAGATGCTCAAGACACACTTTATCCCCTTTGCATCTTTAAATTATAGTGGCATCTGGTCAAAATAATTTTAATTCCAGCTGTTTCTGTCTGTGCAGATGCTCCCAGCAATCCCTGGCAGTTGTTGCATTTCTCAAATACACAAGTTGGCTGTCTTGGACAGGGAGTTTAAGCTTTAGCTTTTTCATCAGCTAAGGTCAGCTGCATTAGCCCCATCTGTTAGAGGGTTTTCCACAATGTCCCACAAAATTTCCTCTGATGAGAAAATACTTCAGCTTTACAGCCCTTGCTGAATAATTTGTAGCATTTAGTCTTTCCAAAGGCAAACTTCTACTTTCAGTGATAGACATACTATTCAGGCCTTTTCCTCCACCAAGCAAACACCTTTGGGGATTCTGTACCTTACAGTCCTGGCAGCTCTTCAGGAGTTCTGGGCTTTAGAGTCCTTGGTCTTTAGGGCAAAGCTGGGCCCATAACAAATGTCGTGGTGAAGATTAATGTGTAGACACACAGAGATGCGGAAGCTTTCTCCCTCCAACCAAGGAGCAAACACGCATGTTTGTCTTGTAGCAGAGTTTATGCAAAAACATATATACAGAGTCCAATTCTTCTCCTCAAGCCACAAGCCTCTCAGAACCCCAACATTCCAACTCCTCCCAACACCACCAAATTCCTCTCAACTCCACCACAAGGAGTAACCCTTTTTTACTCCTTTATTATCCCAGCAGTTACCCCACCCTGGTTGCTACTGCCCAGTGCTTGTTAGGTGGCCCAGCTCCCACTGCCTGCTACCCAGATCCTTGCACTACTTGTTACTTAAGAAATGACAAAAGCTCTAACATTAATTATAATAATTATCTAGTTTCTCAATATTTGCTCCACCCACTGAGGCTAGCATAAGAACCCTTTAAACATCCATGAGATCAGAACTAAGCAGAGTTTGCAGAGAACGCATCAGCAAAAGGATAAAGGTAAAGGAAAGAGATATATGTTTGGTATGAACTGGTTAGGTTAATTTCTAATTCATATTATCAAATTGTGCATGTTTAATGGATAGGTGCTGCTTTACATACACTACATCCCAAGTTGGAATATTCCAATTTATCCAGAACAGATGTTGTTGAAACGTTTCCAAGCCATTAATCACAATGGAATGGGATGGCCAACAAAATATAACCCAGCAAGATATGGAGAGCAATAGATCTTTCTTGCTGCAGCAGATTTTCACACTGAGCTTTGTTCTGCTGGACAGCAGGAATTCATAGTGGGAAGTTTATACTTTTGGTGTTGAAGGAAAGAGCTATACAACCCTCTGCAAACTTTTCCACAGCTAGCAGACCTTTCTTTTAGCTGGGGTTGCAATGGGAGTTAATCGTGTATTTGCTTTTTTCTAGGAAGCAAACAAGGACATTGCTTCATCATATGCCGAAGATGACAGTAGAAAACACAAACTGTACTTTAGAGCAAGAATCTTTGACTTGGCCAGCTTACCTCTTAGGAGAATATCGAGACTTCATGGTGTATCCATCAACAATGCTATGGATTCTGATAATATTATATTATCCCCTTATTGTTTCATTTTCCGGGCTCTACATAAGCAGTGCATACTTTTTTATTTGTCGTATTGTGGGTAACTTCCAAGAAGATACAAATACCAAGCTAAAGGGGAAGCCAAGGCACATAACCTCAGTTTTGTCAGATATAATAGGAAAGATACTGCATGGTAAGCATGATTTCCTCACATAATCTCTTAAAGTCTCAATTCCCAATATTTGTATTCTGGATATGCATTCTGATAACAACCTACCCTCTACTTCAGAAGAAGAATGTGCATCTGGCTGTCCTCTTATTTCGTAGAACAGGTAATTCAGGGTGACATGAACAGAGTTGCTGAGGTCAGAATTTATAGCATCCAGGTTCAGAATCCAAAATCCATAAGATTACACATTGGGCTTTCTCAGAATTCAGCACTTGAGACTTATGTAACATTTGTTGTTTTCAGCATTTGGGCTGAAGTCTGAATGTCTTTACAATGGCAATTCCCAAGGTATGGGACTCCCTTCCATGGGATGCTCAGATGGGCTGTTTTCTGCTTCCTTTCTACTGGATGGCAAATGTTGAAACTATTTTTATTTGGAGATTGGATTTTCAATTTTTGTAAAATAAAGAGTTTAACTGGATTATATTAAAAAAAATTATAAGCAGCTTTGAGTCTATTGGTGTGAGAAAGGCAATGACTAACCTAATCATAGAAACGGTTGCGATTTTCCTGGCAGGATGTGAACAGAGAGAATTAGTTGAAACAAGAATTGATTTGCCTAAGGATACCCTGAAAATATTAGCAATTTACTTTTTTTGTAATAAGACAAAAAATTTGCACAGCTTGCTGAGTTCAGTTCACAGTATTCATTAATTCCTCTTTTTTTGGGTTGACCACATTTCTCTACTCCAGTGTCTTCCTCACTCCCACCTCCTTCATTTGTTCTCTAAGACACTATTTTTATTTTATTTTCAGTTTAAGTTTGTCAATTTATAGCATGACATTTTTTCCTGCTCATTCATAACTGATGATATATTGGAATGCATAAATAGGAAATATCTATCAGCAGTGTGCAGATATTGCAAAGGAAATTTACTTTTATATGTCAGACATACATTTTCAAATTGAAATTTGGACATCAGGCTTTTGTTTAATCTCTGTTTTGTTTATTTTAATATGTATTTTATAGAGATATGTTTTGGTGTGTAACTTTTATAGAGGTACATTTTAATATGTGTATTTGTGATGTTTTTACTATGCTTATGTGTTTTAATTGTTCTGTAACTCACCTCAAGCCATGAGGAGAGGAGGGTAAGAAATAAAATTATAATTATAATTATTTCATTGACAGGTTATGAAGTGTGTGGAATAGAAAACTTACCTAAAGGAGCTGCTGTTCTTGTTTATTATCATGGAGCCATTCCATTGGATTATTACTTCTTTGTACATAGAGTTTATAGAACTACGGGTAGATTCTGCTCTTCAGTGGTGGATCATATCAATTTTCTTTTTCCAGGTACAAATACAAAATGTATAAGTATATATATTTTTAAAAGATGGAAACCCTATATGAAGAAACAGGTAACATATCTCAGGATGTTAAACATGTGAAATTTATTTTCCAAAACATTTTGAGCTTTGTAGAAAATAATGTTCATCCCATAAAGGCAGAGAACAATCAACCACCCCTTTCTGTTTGCTCACCATCTCCTTCCAGGTGATGCAGTTTATAAAAGAGTCATCACCAAGGACCTTATCACATTAGGATATTGTCAGTTACTTTCAGTATGCGTCCCATGACTGATTGCATACTGTATTCAGACAGCATACATACTGTTCCCATTACACCCAATTATTATCATTCTTATGTTTAGAAAATACAGTGCTTTGATTCATTTCATCATGGAAGGCTGGCTCCTCCCAATCCATTCAAAAGACTTGCTCCATGACCTTTTTAAAAAACATTTCTAAGATTACCCAAACTCCTGAACTACCGCTTTCATTGTAATTTGAATAAGATTTTGCATCTGCACAGCAACAGATTTGCCTGATCACTATCTTTTGGTAACTCAAAAAGTAATTACTAACATGAGGTGATTCAGAGACAATAGCAGCTTCTATCAACACTGCTTCTCCTTTTGAGAAGGCATAACAGACATCACTTTGAAGTGTTTGCTGGTTATGTGGCTGACACAGATGGCAGCGCCCTTACATGGGAAAGGGCCACCCTAGAGCCAAGGAGATGCCAGCTGAGGGAGGAATTTAGGAGGTGTTTGAAGCACTATAGCTAATTAAGAAAAGGAAGCAATGAAATTTTTATTATACTACCAAGTTTTCTGTGATTTAAAAAGATAAGTGAAGCATAGTTGAACTACTCTTTTACTTCCTTCACACATTAATATTCTGTTACACCTACATATTGGAAGGAAGAACTTCCATAGATTCCAGTAAATAATAATAATAATAATAATAATAATAATAATAATAATAATAATAATAATGAATTAAAGTGGCAATTACCAATTTTAGTAATCTTGGAATTTCAGAATTTGAATATTTTAAACAGTCTCAGAAATGGAGTGCCATATTTACTGAAGTCTAGTGCGTTGTCGAATCTAACACCTCAAATTTGAAAAGACTGAAACAAAAAAAATAACTTGTTGGCAAAGGTAGGGATTGGGAGAAGCAGAACAGAAGCCTGCAGGGTAATGTAGTTTTCTCCCTCTTTCCTTCCTCAAGCCGGCCAGAGTCTGCCAATGGGATGGGAGTCAAGGAGATGGAAGGTGGAAAGGAATGGAGGGGGATGGAGAGACTATGTTACCCTGCAGGCTCCGGGGTGACTTTGATGTGTAGATGCTCCTTGTGTTGTCATTAGGAAAGTCATACTAGCTGATCCTGATAGGCTGAGAGAGGCAATAAGGGGGGAAAGAGGGCACATTTGGAGAGGGCAAGGAAAAGAAGAGGCACCAAATAGCCAAGAAATCAAGGGAGGGAGGCAGTCCACCTTGAGCACCATTGAACCTAATGTGCATCGTAATTTTGGCAACGTAATTTAGCCAAAAAAATGTGCACATTAGACTCAAGCAAATACGGTATTTTCTAATGTGATAAGGTCCCAATGTATAAACACCTATGGGCTTTCAGAAAGACTCTGGATTCCAGTCTATGCTTGGTAGATATTATTTGAAAACTTTTATCAGACTGTGGAGAAAAATGTGTTGCCACAATCCCAAAGCTCAGCAGAAAGCAATATTGATCTTATCTGGATTATAAACCCAAAAGTCCTTAACACTAAGTTTGAGATGGCCTGGATAAAATTAATCCAAACTGCAGGAACAGAATCTCTAGTATACTCTTACTCTTGATTATGAGGAAAATGTGAAATGCATTGCATCTTAATCTTTACTCAAGATTAAAGTAAATATCTCTAACTACCATTCCACTCCCTCCAGGCTTCGCACGGTATTTGTACATAAATCAATGTTATAACTGTACAAGAGAGAAATGTGTGGCTCTTCTGAAAGAAGGGCATTTACTGGGCATTGCACCTGGTGGACTTCGAGAACAAAATTATGGGGACAATACTTACAAGCTTCTGTGGGGAAAAAGAAAAGGATTTGCTCAAGTAGCCATAGATGCAAAAGTGGTGAGTTGTTCATTTGCCATTGTCATTTTATTTCTCCTTATTATATCCTTTGAGTTTAATGAGTATACTATCTTCCAGATCATATTTCAGTCAGACACAATAATTTTGTTATTAGCAATTTATATACTAAGCAACTTACAAAAACATAGAGAAGCACCAGAATTTATTATCTCTGTTCACTGGAGAAGACAAATTTTATTTTCCCCCACACTCAGTATTTAATATTCCAATTGCTCAGAAAATATTCTGAGAAGTGAAGAAAATAAACAAACAAACAAACCTTTATTTGTATGCTGTCCCATCTCCCTGAGGGGACTCGGCGCAGCATACAACAAAATAACAGTGCAAACCATAAACAATAATTATTAAGATATACAACAAAATTAACTTAAATCAACAAAAATACAGAATAATATAAAAATAAAACATGTTAAATTGACACAGACAACCATTCATAAGTAAAAATAAACAGTGGTTATGTTATATAAACCAATTATATTGGAATGGCCTGGGACTATGATTTTTGGATTATGTGATTTTAATGTTTATATTAATATGTTTTTAACTCCATGTTTTAATGTCTAAATCAGGGGTTCACAAACTTTTTAAACAGAGGGTCAGGTCACAGTCCCTCAAACTGTTGGAGGGCCGAATTATAATTTGAAAAAAAAATATGAATGAATTCCAATGCACGCTGCACATATCTTATTTGTAGTGTAAAAAACACTTAAACAATACAATAATTAAAATGAGGAACAATGTTAACAAATATAAACTTATTAGTATTTCAATGGTAAATGTGGGCCTGCTTTTGGCTGATGAGATGGGACTGTTGTTGTTGTTATGTGCTTTCAAGTCATTTCAGACTTAGGTTGACCCTGAGCGAGGGCCAGGTAAATGACCTTGGAGGGCCACATCTGGCCCTCGGGCCTTAGTTTGAGGACCCCTGGTCTAAATGTTGTTAGGTTTTATGATTTAATTGATAATTATTTGTTATTGTTGTTTTATGTTAGGTTTTCATATGTTTCTGAGGCATTAAATTTTGCCATGAATATGTTGGAAACCGCTTTAAGTCCTCCCCTGGGATGAGAAAAGCAGTATACAAATGAAGTTAATTAATTAATTAATTTTAAAAAAACAACCACTGATCTGTTCAAAAGAAAATCCAATTAAAACTTAGTCCCATTTTAAGTATCAACTATTTTGTATTGTTTGAGAAAACATCCGCAGCAAACAAGTTGGTTTCAAGATGAAGAGGATACTACAAAAATTTGGAGAAAAGTATGGAGAACATATAGAATATATATCTGTTTCTACAGGCAGTATATCTGTGGATTCCTTGACCTGAGAAATGTTGAGACAACTCAGGGCACTTTAAAGCAGGTGGGCAAGAGTTGGCCCACAATATCAACATGATGCATGGACCCTTCTCACCCTCAACTCATGACAAGCCTTCTTGAAGCTGTTTCATCCCATGTTAGCCACAGTTCGGAAAAGTAGTCCTGTATTCCAGAGCCATGTAAACAGTTGGGCTGGTTCTGAACTGGTAATGGTCCGTATTGTGATGGTCCTGTTGACATTGTCTGATGACCATGGAACTCCCAAGAGCTCCTGTCCATCCAGGGCCACCATTGCTAACATTTGCATTGTAAGCCGCCTTGAGTCCCCCTTCAGGGGTAGAGAAGGGCAAGGTACAAATATTTGAAATAAATAAATGAAATAAATGCCTGCATGACATGGAAAGAGGAGATTTGCATCCCTCCTTTCTTCACTCCAAGTCTGAGCAGTCATTATTCCATCCCGACACTGCAATGGGATGGAAGCTGTACTCTGCAACAGCCTCGGGGTGCCTGCCTATGTAGATGCACCAGAGGAACAATGTTGTAAAGATAGACATATTGTGCTAAGGAGACATTTTTACTGATCTTGCTTTTTGCCACATTCATGTCCTGCTGCAATTTCCAGCAGGAAAAAAAAAACTTTTGCACCCCCACCACATCCCCAAATATTCCCAGTGCAGGAATTCCCTAGAATTGCAATAAAGAAACAGATTTTTTGATATTTCCATCATACTTACGGCCAACATCATCCTTATTTTTCCATCACCTTCAAACATACAGTTGGATATAACATCTCTCCTTGACCTGAGAGATATTGAGACAACTCAGGGCACTTTAAAGCAGGTGGGCAAGAGTTGGCCCACAATATCAACATGATGCATGGACCCTTCTCACCCTCAACTCATGACAAGCCTTCTTGAAGCTGTTTTGTCCCATGTTAGCCACAGTTCGGGAATGCTCTTATTGTCCTGTAATTATTCTCTTTTGCAAGCATCTCAATTTTTATTTTGGTCTGCCATCTCTCTTAGCCCATCATCCCTATCTTTACTCAAAATCTGAGAGAAGGCTACAGAACATATGGAAACATAAGTAAGTACAACTTGATACTTCCTTAGTAAATAAACCAGGAAGGAGATCAATTTAGAAAGATATGGGAATTTACTTAAGAGTAAACCATGTGGAAACCTTTTAGGATGTAGGTAAAAGCTCAAAAATGACCTAAGTCTCATAGATGCAAATATTTTTGAATTCTTGTTCATACATCTATTTCTTTCCATTCTTTAGTCTCAAGCAAAATAGTAAATTGATTCAGCATTCATGCTGGGAAATTTTATATACACACAACTCTCTGTGTTGTCCCATGAAATGGGCAGTCTTTCAACACAAAGTACCGTATATTCCGGGGTAGAACACAACTGGGGCTATAAGATGACCCCCCAACTTTAACAAACAAAATAGAGAGGTGGGGATATACTCGCTGTTTAAGACGACTCCCCAAACCAGGAGCTTGGACAAGAAGAAGGAGAGTGGCCTGATCAGAAGGGCCTCCGGCGCTCCTCGGGCCGCTCTTCTTCTTCCTGGCCAGGCCTCGCGCAAAGCACCTCTTCTCCCGCAAGACAATGTTGTCTCACGGGAGAAGAGGCAGTTCTCGCAAGGCCTGGACAGAAAGGAGAGTGGCTTCAGCAGTGCGAGAAGCAGCCCAGGGGCCCAGCTGCCAACAAAGGAGAGGCCTGGGCATGAGCAAGAAAGGTAACCAGGAAGGGAGAAAGGATGGGGAGCCTGCCCGGGAGGCCGCCATGAGCCAAGGAGGAGGGGAGCCTGAGGCCAAGGCAGCCATAGTATGTAATTTTATTATTATTTTAATTTTATACCCGGCATACTAGACAACCCCCAAAATTTTATAAGGTTTTACTAAAAAGTCGTCTAGTACCCCAGAATATACGGTAGGTGGTTGTGATTTATCCTATTATTTCAGTTTCTCCAGATGATGAAATGCGCAAGCAGAAAATTCAAATTTTCATGTAGAAAATTTTCATTTTCCTTTTATATCACTCTGAATCAGGCATGGGTAAACACCTCTGGGTGTTTTAGACTTCAGCTCCCAGAGATCCCAGCCAGCTTACCATCTGTTAGGAATTGTAGGAGTTGAAGACCAAAACACCTGAAGGGTCAAGGTTTGCCCATGCCAGCTCTGAACCCATAAAAGTCTTAAATTGGCATTAGTGCTCATATTGTTTGTCTAAAGAGATTTAAATCTTGATCTTGCCTTATCTATAAAGATGGATTGAGGACATGATCCCAAATTTATCTTAATTCCATATACAGGACCAATGAGATGGCTTTATGAACAAACTCGAATTTTATTCTTTCCACTGTATGGACTAATCCCGGTCAAACTTCGAACCCATATTGGGCAGCCCATTGCTTATGATCCAAACATAACAGCTGAAGAACTAGCTGAAAAAGTAAGTTAGACCCTGTTGAAATGATATATTGAGACTCCTATTACGGATCAGTACTACTAGAATTTTGTCTGAGATTTACAGAAACATCACAAAAGTGACTCTGAATATTGTGGCTAATAAGCACAATTTGGTTTTATTTATCTTACATATGTAACTGCAACTATGTGTCATTTAGTGGTCATAAATATGAGAAGAAAATATAGGGTTATGTCAAAACAAAGAGTGGATTTCCACAGATACAAAGGACGTTACTGGTTCTGCTATGATGAAAATGGCAAATTCAGTCTGGATTTTCTATTGCTCCTCCTGCAGTGCTTCTAGTTGAACATTGGCTTTGATGATGCCAGACCCAAGCGCAGCAGTGGTAGAGCTCCTATTCAACTTGGAGCATGTGAGGAAGGAGTAGAAATAAAACCCAACATGAGTTCTCTTCTACTGAAGCAAAAGATGATCATAAATTGATTAATTTATACATCACCTTTTCCCAACAATGAGAATAAAGACGAAGAATAACATGTTTTAAAATTATGCAAAAGATTATAAATAACATAAATATGATTTTTTTTACAAAAATTATAAAGTTAAAAACATTAAAATTCATTAAAAGACTATAAAACAGGATGTGCTGATCTGATATCAGCAGAAATGCCAGAATAAACCTCTATGGCTGACTAGGAGAAGTGACACAAAGGAAGTGCTCAGAGGTTAAACTTACCCAGTGCAGGGGAATCCTTTGTTGTCCCATAACTATCCTGCATGGAACACTCTTTTAGAGAGGACACGCAAAGCAGTAATGGGGCTTTTAACCACTCCATTGAATTCAGTTTAAAGTTTTGTGCTTCACATATTCCATCTGCTTTATTGCTTTCTCCAGAAAAAATGGTGGGAGACCACAGATCAATTGCCCATTATTGGGAGGAGAACTAGTGCGGGAGAAATCTTTTAGAATTACAAAGAAAATCTGGCATTTTTTAAAAACTCAAGAAACAAGATAATATTCGTGTAAGACTGGAAGTATGATAGTGGTTTGTAAAATCATGAATACAGTGTGAGGAGTGAGGAATTATTTCTCACTTTGCCAGACATCCTTCCCAAGTGGCTCATTTCTCAGGAATGAAGGAAAGTAGAATGAGAAAGAGCAATCAAGATGTTTCAATGTCTTTTAAAGCATCTTCACAGCATGGAGCCTGTACCCATTGGTAGTGACTATCTGCATTTTTGGAATATACAAGATTGTATTTCATTAAAAATCTTGGGTTTTTCATCTTTTCCATCTAACAGACAAAAATTGCAATGGAAGCTTTACGAGACAAGCATCAGAAAATACCTGGAAGCATCCTGAGAGCTCTCCGTGAACGCTTTGAGACGCATCCCAAAAACGAATAGTGTGAATAAAGGAATATGCTGATACAGTTTTTCTTATATTGTTCTCTCACAAATACTTTTTACCGTTATTGCTGTTTGCCTTCAAGCCATTTGTGACTAATGGAAATGCTAAGGAGAGACTGCAATGGGGTATTTTTGATAAGACTCAGAGGGGTCTACCTTTGCATTATTCTGAAGTTGGGAGAGTATGGCCTACCTAGTGGGCTTTCATGTCTCAGCAGTGATTCAGATCCTGGCTTTTAGAGTCATAGCGCAATATTCAAGCTACTACACATTCTGGCTTTGCCAAATGCTGTCTGTGTAAGAAAAGAAAGAACTGTATGATGCATCCTCTCCAATCTCAACCTTTTATTTTTTTTAATGGGAGTTATTATTCTTAAACCTAATGATGACACAGTTTTCCCCAAAATGACAACTATGCAGGAAAGGTTTGTTGCAAAAGCCAAGCAAGGAAACAATGGTGGAAAACATGAGGTATTTAACTGAAGACACTCTATAGTCATTTTGAAACCTGTGGATACGAATATATGTGTGTGTGTGTGTGTGTGTGTGTGTGTGTGTGTGTGTGTCAAATTCATTATAAAAGCTACCCAATTTAGAGATCTCTTAATCTTACAAAAAGGCATTGCTTTTCTTTGCAATGAACTTATCTAAATTCTCCAACCAATTATTTGACACACATCACTCTATTCCCCCTGCTTTCAACTTGTAACTTGATCCTATTTTACCAAACATATTTTAATGAAGTTTCATAGAGTTTTAATTTATTTTAGTTAACTATTACATGAGGTTTAGGATAGTGATTTGTGTATTCTTGTCTTTTATTGTTGATATGGTCAATAGACTAATCAGTCAACAAATATATCTACCTACATATTGACCTTGAGAAACTGAGCAACAAATATTCTGTATCCATTTGCTTCACTCTATCCCATCAAAGGATAAGGTGTTGATATTGACCTTTAAAGCCCTACATGGTTTGGGTCCAGGTTACCTACAAGATCACCTTCTCCCATACAATCCACCCTGAACACTGAGGTCCTCTGGAGGGCATCTTCTCCAACCACTCAGAATCCGACTGACAACCATCACCAAGAGGACCTTTTCATCGTTTGCCCCATAATTGTGGAACAACCTACTAAATCAGCTGTCAGAATTTAAGACACTTCTAGCAGGCCTACCCAGACAGTTTTCATGACAATTTTTTAACTTCTACTCTATGTCTAACTTTTGTTTTGTGTATTTTAATATATATTTTATGGAAATATGTTTTAATATGTGTATTCTATGGAGTGTTTTTAAAATGATTATGTGTTTTGATTATGCGTTTTAGCAGTGTTGTAACCTGCCTCGAGCCATGAAGAGAGGCGGGTATTATTATTACTATCATTGTCATCGTCATCATATTTTCAATGTTTCTACTATGAAACTTTGGGGTCCAGCATGGACCTTCTCATTAAATAAACTATATCTGCCTGGAAAAGATGAGTTTGATTTAGCTGCCTCCCACTCTGCTCTGCCCGTTAGCCTGAGGATTTTATCACATAAGGCAAGCGAACTGGCATCAAAGCTGGGCCATCATATGCTGCCATTAGTATTCTGCTGTTGATCTGCCTTCTTCCTATGATTAACCCACCCTCACTATTAACAGAAAATCATCAATAGCTCATAATCCTGCAACATTCCTGTCACCTACCTTGGTGCGATGGATCCGTTCCGCTTCTGTGTTGGCATGCCAAGAGTGAAGTATCATTAAGGGTTGGAATTCTCTTCCTTTCTCAATCTCCCCTCTTCAATTCCAAAGATGATCTTTTTGTGTTTACTTGCTGTAATATTTTACAGTTATATTAGCCTTTTCTGTTAATCATGATGAAACTGCTAAATTGCTCTGAATTTTTTTTAATTGTAGTGCAACAGAAGACAGGGTTACAAGGGTATGTGGAAATATACTTCTGAGACCACAAATTGGCAAACAGACCAAATTGTTTAATTGAAAAGAGGTGTGGTACTGAAGGTGCTCATCCCAGAATGTATGATAGCATTGCTGCTGTGGAATAGCGGCTTCATATGACAAAGTCGTGTTTGTCAATCCAGTGTTTGTAGTGTTGCCTTGCAATACAGTTACCATATGCTCTTCTTTTTTACCACTGTGGTAACTTAGTGAACTTAATAGAGAATGATCACTGAGCTACAACCACGTCAAAAAGTAAAGCAAATTGAAAATGCATTGTAATGCTGTGCAAAATAGTGAAAAACCACACATAAACATAAAATAGCAATTAATATAGGATATCAGAAATAACAATGGTTACAGCATAACAAATACAAAATATAGTGTAACTGACCTGGGATCAGCTCTGTAAGTCTTAACTGATGGTGCCATTGTTCTGCATCTGGCTATACAGACATAGATTGTTTTCTGATTCCCCCACTTTCTAATAGCTATTATATAACCATGGTGTTGGAACAGATGAGACTTAGGATAAGGGTGGCTTACTACTCCAACCACAGCAGCAACAAAAAAGATTTATGATGTTGTAGGTTAGACTTTACCATAATAAACTCCTAGCCAGATAACTAACAATTTAAAACAATTTAAAATAGAGTTTTAAACAACTATGGACCACTGATGAAAAGTGGTCAACCAGATTCAGTTTAGAATCCAAGAGTTTGCCAAGACTATGACACAGGTATATCTTTTTCCCATGATCTGTCTTTCATTTCCTCAAGATCATATCTGTCTTATTGGGATTAAGCTTTAATTTGTTTGTCCTCATCCTATTCATTACTGACAAGAGACAGCGTATTTGAAATTACATTGAAAGGTGAGACTGAGTTGAGTGTCATTAGCTTACAGTTTACACCCAAACCCAAAAATCCAGATAATCTCTCTCAACATTTTCATGTAGGTGTTAAATGTCCTGGGAGAAGAAGGGTGTCCTCGGACAAACAGTCAACTCCCAGCATTACCTTTGGTCTTCTTCCTTCCCAAAGCCATTGCAAAACAGGGTCCCTAAATCCCAATTTAGTGCCTTATCACACTAGAGCATGGATCCACTTTAAATCCTGTTGCTTCCTCCTACAGAATTCTGAGGTTTGTAGTTTAGCGAGGCCCAGGACCTGTCTAAGTGGTTTAAAGGCCCCTCCCTAAATTACAAACCACAGAATTCTGCAGGAGGCAGCAATTGGGTTTAAAGTGGATCCATGCTCTAGAGTGATGAGGTCCAAGAGATGGTTCAGAGGAATAACATATTTGCCTGCATAGATGCAGGTGAAACGTCAGGAGAGAATGCTTCTAGAACATAGCCATACAACCTGAAAAACTTACTGCAGCCCAATGATTCCAGCCATGAAAGCCTTCGACAATATTCCCCATGTCCACTTCTCTGATTTGTCAAGATGATTAAAATGGTCTCTGCCCCACAGTCGTGTCTGAAACCAGACTGAAATGAATCTAGATAATACATTTCACCAAGGACCTCTTGGAGATGAGATACTGACATGAGCTCCAGAACCTTGTCCAAAATTGTGTAGTGGAGACTGGTCATGTAGTTCAGGGGTGGTTTTTGCAGTGAGGATATGCATGGATGTGTATGAGATCATACCACTCCATAATTTTTTCTTTCTTTCTCCACTAAGAACAATACTGTGCAGCTGTACTGATCTTCTCAAAGTTTTAAAAAAAAAGCTCTTTATTCTCCATAAGCATATATCCCATCAAATCGGTCCTTATAAGACAGGAAATTCACACCCATCCTGTAAACATTCTGGAGAGTTTATCATTTGTGCTTTTCCACAGACACAAACATCCAACTATGACTGAATGCATTCTAGAATGTAGTAATCAGATTTTTCTCAACATTCACCCAAGAAGTCCTGAAATTGATCTACGTGAGATCAAGGTCTTGGAAACTATGAGAGAGAGAAAGGACAAAGGTGGTTAGTAGTCATGGGCCTGGTATTTGTCGAATTTGTTTAATTGGGTTTTCATTTCGCGCTTTCTATTTGGCTGGCATAAAACAAAGTACGGAAGAAGGGGTGAAACGAAAGAGAAAATTGCACGGTTACCATTGCTTTGTTCGGTTTTCGCTCATGCAGCCTTCCACATGCCTTGGAGGAGGAGGAGGCATTTGAGCCAGTCAGAGCCCAAGAAAACAGTAATATGAGGTTATATATGAGGATACCACCCCCAAAGCTCCCATTGTGGACACGTCCTTCGATGCAGCTGGCTGGCTGATGCTGCTCTGCTTTCCCTCCTGCCTTGCTTGTCTTGCCTTGCAATTCTTCCCTGCCACCCAAGTTGTCTTGCTGCCAGGGGAAAGATTTGAATTTTATTTTTTGCCATAGCTTGGCTGCTTGGCATCTTTTTAATATTTTTCTTTAAAGAGGCTGGGAGTTTTGAAAGGGTGGAGGTGGGTTTGGGTGCTGGGGAGCGCGCGTGGGGCTTTGGGTGGGGAAGAAGGGGTCTCTTTGTAGCTAGCTAGCTAGTTGCTTTCTTCTATTTGCTGTACTTTAATATTTTAAAAATCTTTTTCTTAATTCTTTATTTAACCCCCCCCCTTTTTTTTCTCCCCCTGGGTAATATTGTGATTTTTTAAAAAATAAATATTTTTCAAAGGAAAGAAATTTTGGGGCTTCTGTTGAATACCTTCTCAGTTTAGAAAACAAACCTTCAGTCACTCTCTATAACTGGCCCTTGGAAAAACTACTCTTTATTTCTCTCTCTCAATCTCTGTATTGCCTCTGGGTTGGGTCCTCCCTCTCCTTTGGGCTCTGTTATACTTTTATAGAACAAATAGAATAGAATAAATATATTTTTCAAAGGAAATACATTTTTAAGTTTCTGTTAATAGTAACTTCTCACTTTAGAAAACCACTATCTCTCTATCAAGCCTTCAGTCTCTCTCTATAACTGGTCCTTGGGGAAACTACATTTTCTTTCTCCCTCAACTTTTGCATTTCCTTGTTTCCATACCTTTTGTGCACCTCCTCTTCTACTACAATAGAACAGTACCCTTTGTCTGGGGTGCTGGGCGAAAGGGGTCCGATGTCCCC